TGATTTACTAAGAAGTAAATTTATGAGAGTTTCAGTTCTATATTGTCAACATGAAGGCTGGAGTGGCTTCATATTTCATAGGCACTTGAACTCAAGGAGTCAACAACAGGATTAATTATCCCTCTGTTCTCCTCCACAGCAGCCTATTCATTCTCCAGTCTAGTTTTCTAGATGCAATGACTCAGTGTCCCGTCACACTGTAACCAAGTTCTGGTGCTCGGGCATCTGCAGTAGACTCTTGACTCTGACCTTCTCCCTATTGGTGGACTGTTGCTCTAGTATGGTACACCAGTTGGCTTGCACAGGTGACATCAAAAGCATTCAATTCTGCTTCTGTATACATATTTAGCTTCCCAACACATAACCTCCATTTCTGTCTGAGTCACCATTCACAATGCAAACTCATCCTCCAGCCTAGGGAGCGATGTGTCCTTCAAGGGGCTGGCACTTCTCATATTAACTGACTTGATTAAAACAATCTCTCCTCAGACATGCCCACAGCCCAACTCGATATAGACAACTTACTCATGAAGACTCTCTTCCAGGTGACTCTAGATTGTATCAAGCTGACAATTAAAGTGAATCATCCCATTATCCATCAACTCTCTTTCCTGTGTTTGCCTGAGTGGAATAATTTCTTTTATCTGGAATCTCCTCCAATCTTACTGTGTGAAAATACACCTTAATTTCAAAACACACTGTTATCAAGTTCTGTTATTAACCTCAATCTTTGTCCCTCATATTAATAAGCTTTAATATTTCATAAGCTACAGTACTTTGCTTTGATGAGTACAGTGCATTTCAATGTTTCACTGCCTTACTTAATAAAATATATACTATTTTAGATTTTCTCCATATAACTATTTTATTGGAAAATTCTCTCTTGGAAAAAAAGTCAGTCTAAACATATTTGTGAATAGATGCAAGGTCCTAGTAGTTGGGAAGAGCACTAACTTGGGAAAATTACATCATTCATTTTAGAGTTTGGTCTAATATATGTTACCCAATCTTGGACAAAGTTCCTAATTTGTCTTTGATTCACTTCCTTCCATGTCAGATGTGAGGCACTTTGATGCTTACTGATCTTGAATGAATAGCACAGACAAAGCCTGTCCATGAACTGAGTTATGGGAGTGCATCCCAAGGCTGTTATCTGGGAAGGAGACCATGCCCCAAATACCATTGTTCCCTATTTACAGACACTGTAGCAGAATGCCCTCCAACGTCTAGAAAACTCTAGCCTGTTCTTCCCTACACCACTCAAAAGTGTGGCAAACAAAATCAAAGAACTTGGTGCTTATGCTGAAAATATCCAGGCCCTTTCATTCATAAGTGGAAAAAGCCAATGGTTCCAACTATTCCTATGCCCAGTTACTGAAAACAAGTCAATGGTTCATTAGGTAGAAAATTCTGCTTGTCTCCTATGCCTGCATAAAATGGTAATATTCATGTACCTACTCCTCTGTGCTGTTCAAACTAACTGTGAAAATACCTACAAATAATGCTCTTTGGTGCATGATAACTGTTCATTACTTGTTGGCTTTATGGTATCATGTGTAATCAACTAACACCCATGAAGGATGATGGCATAAATAATTTGAGAATGTGACGACTATTCAACTGAAAGATTAAAGTTAATATGATCCTACCCATTCCCAAAAGTCGTGTACATCCAAGCCAATTTTATGCTAGTTTTTTTACTCTCTATGGGAATATCATTCCATTAAGCTGCTTACTTAACATCATTTAATAATTTAAAACTATGTGTCCACCATTTTACAATGGCTCCTGTCATACCATTTTACTCTGTGTATTTGAGCTTAAAATCTACTACTGCTTAAATGAGTCAGGGAGAAAAGGAGACTGATTGGTAGGTGGGAAAATGTACTTTTCCTAAAAGCAACAAATGCAATCACAACAAATTGGGTGTTGCAAATAGTTATGGGCCTGGACAGTAGGAAGACAGGCTATCCTAAGTCATAGGGCATCAAAGAGAACTCAAAGAAGCCTAAACCTCAGTAGACACTACCTCATGAGTATTATAAGCAATAATTAGGTGTCAGCAAAACAGCATTGCCTTTACAGTCAAAATTCTAAAGTTATCAAGTATTGAAAGTGGGCAGATTGCTTCATTTCCCCAAGACTCAGTTTACCCTGGGAAATGTAAGAATTAAATTAGAATGTCTCTAAAAATGATTCATGTCACAGTGTATCCACAATCAATGTCAGCTCTTACTCTGCTGTAGTAAATATTTTTGCAAAATGAACACTCCATAGAGAATACAATTGTCAATACAAAGCAGTCTCATATCTGTTGTCTTGTTTATCCATCATGCATGCATGAGTTTGGCTAACCTCCAGCATTTAAAGACATAGGCTGGGGATATGGACCCATGGTAGAGCACTTGTCTAGTGCATAACAGGTGCTAGATTCAATCCCCAGAACTGCAATAATAATAATAAACTATAATAATAATAACGATATAAATATGTTAGAAGTAAGACTGTCCAAGTTCTGACTTCCAGAACTTGATTAGGGTAGGCTATTTTTCAAGGGTGTTTTTTCCCCAGGTCTGAAAATTATGAAATGAGAAACAAACATACGCAGAGCAACTAAGCTGGATTGTGGAAGCCAAGAAAGCCAGCAGTCCAGCTGGGCGATGGAGAGAAAGCTACTCTGGAACCCTGCTCTGTGATCCAGGAGCTGCAGGGAGCAAGAGCTTGAGTCCTGGGCTGCAAACCCAGCTTTGCCACTTCCTGTCTGTGCAGCCTGAGCAAGTCAACCATCCCCAAGCCTTAGTTCTCTTTTGTGAACAAAATGGGAAAAGGGAAACATTATCTTGTCATAGTTACCTGGGTCCCTTTGAGATGTCATAAACACCTTTGTCTCGTGTCTATAAGAAGTACTCAATCAACTGGAAAATTCAGTCTAGATTCCCAGCATCTAAATGAAAAGTCAGATACAATGACACATGCCTATAATCCTAACACTGGGAAGTCAGACATGAAAGGGATCTATGGGCTTCCTGCAAAGACTGTCTAGTGGAATTAGTGAGAACTCCAGGTTCAGTGAAAGACTAGTCTTGGAAAAAGGGTGTTTGAGGAAGACCCCTGATAACAACCTCTGGCATCCGCATACTATGGACACATGCACCCACATGTACATAAGCATGTATAAACACACACACACACACACACACACACACACACGTACCACACGCACACAAAGAAACACCCTAGTGCATCTAGTAAGGACTCAGACAAGTTCTTCTATTTTTAGAATTAGCAATATTAATGCTATTAATATTGGTATTGGTGCTGTTGCTAATTGAATCACTGTTCCATCAAATATCATTATTGTTGTTCTAGAAGCCTGAAGGGAAAAAATGTTGATTGATGATGGTATTTAATACTAGGAACATCATTAAAATATACAAGGCACTCCAGGAAGTCTATACAATATGATCTCTTGACCTGACCATTTTTAAAACTTCATCAATGGTCTGGAGAGATGGCCTAACAATTAAGACTACAAACTGCTCTTCCAGAGGAACCAAGTTCCATCCCCAGAACCTACATTTGTCAATTCACAGCTACCTGTAATTCAAGATCCAGGAGATCTGATGCCCTCTTCTGACCTCCATGGGCACCTGCACACATGTTCACATATGCACTCATAGACACACAATTAAAATAATTATTAAAAATAAATCTTTGAAGACTTCATCAAGTCATCTGACTTCTTTCTGACATTTGCTTTTCTTCTCTGTTAGAAAAAGGAAGCTGGACATTGCCAGGACAGCATCCTAAAGTGATATGTTATGTATGAAATAAGAAACCATTAGTGGCTAAAAAATAAGCAAATAGAATTCTGCTGAGGGATAATGATGTAGTAAAATTGAACAGTCCTGAGGTCTTATTCTGAAGTTCCCCATGTCTTAGTTGTGAGACACTGGGTCAATGCCTGAATCTCCCAAAACCTCAACCTGTTCGTCTGATTAGACCTTCTGATAGACCTTGCTAGCCAGCTCACTGCTCTCACAGAGGCCCCACCAGGGTGCTGTGGCTTGAGGTGGGGCTCTTCCCCCACAAGAACATGTAATAAAACGCTTCATTAGGGGAAGACAGTGAAATCTGTGGCTTCTGCCTTTTTTATGTGAAGATATTTCAAACGCATTTTCTATTCTGGCAGAGGTCTTGGCAGTCTCTTTTAATTTATGCTGAGGGCATGGTACACTTAAAACTGAATTCCTTGGCATATTATTTTAGTCTAGAGAGAAAAGACTCAGCTTTCATAACAGCTGGCTGGTCATACTAGACGGACTGTTGTCCCTTAAAGTGAGGGTGCTGACTTGAAGCTCTAAGTGTAACCCACTGGGGGAGATGCAGTATCTAAATACTCAGACCTACTTAAGAATGATAGTTTTGTAAGAAATGGGCACACACACACACACACACACACACACACCAGAGTGTTTTTGCAAAACCATAAGCTACTTTGTGCATTGTCTATAAGAAACACTCATTGGATTGGAGAGGTAGCTCAGGTGATGTCGCCAGCACACACAGGAAAAGCCATAACCAATGATACAAACTTGGAATCCCAGCACTAGGGTGAAGTGGGATGGGAAACAAAAATAGGCATATTCATGGGTATCACTGGTCAGCTAGTAGCCGAGTCAATTAGCTCCACACCAGTGAGAAACCCTGCCTCAAAAAACAAGGTAAAGAGCAATCACACACACACACACACAAACACACACACACAATGGGGAGAGAGAGAGCACAAATACACTTCGTCCGTGAGTTCAAACGTTAAAGTCGAATACTCCTGTAAATATTGGCATGTGTGGGTCACAAGAATGGCTCTCAGCTGAAATAATTCCTGTCTGCTGTCTCTCTTCATACCTACAAAGTTGATTTATTTCGGCGGGCGGTGTGGCTTTTCAAGCATCTGCTTTGATATCTGTTTCAACGTGCTGGGTAAACAAAACACTTACGGTATGCACACCCGAACACCTCAATTCGCATTCCAATTCTGCCCTTGGGGTTCCATTCTAGAGGGATGAAGCGCAGAAACCTGGCTTTGATTGAAGGCTGGAGTCGATAGTACACAACGCTGTCTGCGTTCGCATTGCCAGCAAAACCCTGGAAGAAAAGGCAGAAGAAGGAACTCAGGGTATCTGGAGACTGTCGGTGTCACCTGCAATGGCCTCTGTGTGCACACCCAGCCTTTAGCCTTTTCTCCTGTGTGTGAATAGTGTCACTTTCAAATCAGATGAACAGTTTTGCCTCTCCATCCACGCAAGTGACTGCTACCTGCTTTTCTTTGTATTAAGAGAAAATTTTTTAAGTTACATCGCACCCATTAAATCAGCTTTCAACCAGGATACCCTCAATAAAAATTGCTTCTGCCCAACACAGATTAAAAGTAAGAGCGTGCGTGCCTACGGCCGCCAGCACTGCAAACAGCATGGGAAGAGCCGAGAAGATAATCTCTGCGTATTGAAAAACTATTGCCTGATTCAGCAAAGAAATTGCTCACCTGCTTCAGCTATGGCACTTTCTCAGCTCCCTCATCAGCATAAACAAAGGCCTCCCCCCCCCCCCGTAGGAACCCTGTTCTCTCTATCAGCTGCTAAACTTCAACAGCACACTGCCTTGGTCTTGTCCAGAGCTGGAAGGGGAAACTGGAATCGACGAGAATTTGGAAAGACCTGTGATTAGACTTACAGACTCTGGCCCCAGAAAACTAGAGAGACCTTTGGAATGACGCTAAGCCAGCACAGTCAAATTGCAGATGAGGAAATTGAAGGTCAGAAAGGTGGGGGGAAAAAAAATCTCTGGTGTCTGCAAAAACCATTAGACTGAGTGAGCCCGGGCTGGTTCCTTCCACAGTATTAATGCACATTCGCTGATGTAGAACTTGCCTTCAAACAGACACCGAACTCAGTATCTTAGCCACTTCTGAAGATATTTTTAAAGATGTATTTATTTTATTTTATGTGTATGAGTGCCTGCATGTGTCTGTGCAAACCATGGACATGCCTTGTCCCTGTGAAGGGCAGAGGAAAGACAAAAACCTGCAAGGGTAGCAAGTGCTCTGAGGTATATCTCTGGCCTGGAGCCATTTTTATCTCCCCTAGCATGGGACTTCACATATGAAGAAAACAGCATGAAACAGAAGCTGTTTCCATCGTTTATATTTTAGCTTTATTTCTTCCCCACCTGTCTCTTCCAACTCTTCTTACCCTTCTCCTTCCTTCTCCTCCTCCTTTTTTTCCCCCATGGTCACAATTGGTTTATGTTGCAAAGGCATAGGAACGACGCTGTTTTAGATGAAGTCTCACGATGACAGATCTCCCTAATGTTCATCAATAAGGGACCAGGGCGGATCTCTGGGAGTTCGAGGCCAGCCTGGTCTACAAGAGCTAGTTCCGGGACAGGCACCAAAGCTACAGAGAAACCCTGTCTCGAAAAACCAAATAATAATAATAATAATAATAATAAAATAAGGGACCAGGTAGGCAAGCGAGGACACAGGCAGCTGGCTCCATCACTACTACTTGGTACTAGTAAAATAATTTCTAATATATTGTAAAGAAAGGTATAATGCATGTTTATAACAGCTTAATTTGATTCCCTTAGCAATGAGTTTACTTCCTCTGTCTCATCGGTGTTGACGTGAGCATTTCCACGGATGCACAGAGTAGCTAGCTGCTCGCAAAAGAAGTCTGGAAGCTGGGCACCTGTGATCTTTCATTCTCACCATCTATTTGACTGTATTTGGAACCAGATATGAAAAAAAATTAAGGATGCTTCTATGAGAAGATTTCCAAAAAGTAGAACTGATCCTGAATGTGGACGATGCCTCGAATGGGCTGGGATTTTTGGCTGAAATGGGAAAAAAAAAAAAAAACGAGCATGTGTCACTCGGCTTCCGGACCAAGGCTCTGGCTGCCCCGGCTTCCCCTCCATGATGGACTTACTCTCAAACCATAAACCCACAGTAGACTCTTCCCTTCATTTCCTTCTTGATGGGCATTTGGTCCCAACAAAAAGCAAAGCAACTAACACAGCTTGTCTTTCCATCCGTACTGTGACCACGCCGTTCCACAAAGCATGCTCTCATCAGAGCTGTCATCAGAGCCTGCTCTTGGACCCCTCCCTTATTCTGTTTCCGCCTCCATTCATACCCCCCACTTCAATGCTTTCCCCAGTGATCAGTCTGTAAGACTTGGCAGAATTAGAGCACCTCCTCCCCTGTTTTCTTTGCTTCTCAGACAAAGCCCAAACCCTTCATCAAGTGTGACAACCACAACTGAGGAGTAGCCGCATGGAATCTCCTTGAAAGGGTGAGATTAAGTCCTGGGTGAGACCTTTGCATATCATTTCCCCTTGTCTTGTCCATCTTTGCGGCCTCCATTTGAGATGGAATTCTTTGTCATCAAAGCTGCTAAGGTCATATATGTGGCCTCCCATATCAAATCTTCCATTTTCCTTTCTTCCTGTTTCTCATCATATGCAGGAGAGAGGGTTTTTCCATTACCTATCATTTGGTTCTGTTTATCTTACGCAACTAGCTGGAGTGCTCCAGTAAAGAAGCTTGGGTTTTAATCAGCAACCACAGCAGTGAAATCCCTGCTTGGCTCAAGGTGACTCCCAGCAAGACACTTGGGCATTTCTGTTTGAAGAAGACCAGCCTTAAAAACAACATTAAAGAAAGCTCAGCAGGTCTCTCAATGACCTGGCCTGGCAGAGCACAGCCCAACCTCTGAAGACCATGTGCTGTGTTGCTCAGGACGTGGAACAATCCAGCATGTCTCAGGCATACTAGATCACATAAATGTTCCTCCTCCCCTTTCCATCATTGCTGTAGGTTACTGCTGCTCTTTGGTGGACACCTTCCTGGGCTGGTGTAATTTCCCAGGATGTAACATAAGAACAGTTTAACCTCACAGTTGTTGGACTCTGACTGTCAGGCCCTTTGAGAAAGTCCCTTTTCCTATTTCACTGGTCAAAGCATTTCACTAAGGATTAGGTAAGAAAGATTATCACACTAGCAAAACCCCCATTCTACCTTATCTCTACACCACAGAGGTTTCCATTTCTGGGCCGATCATGAGCACCTGCCTGAAAACTGGATATCCATGTACTCTGATTTTTCTTTTAGGATGGTCAAGGCAAGGCACAACTTCAAACTTGAAATACTTTTTAAAGTTTTCTGTGCAGACCCCTAAGCATCGGTGTGTGTGCATGTGTGTGTGTGTTTGTGTGTATGTATACATGTATATGCATGTTTCACACACACCCTAGATATTGTGTGTGTGTTGTGCAAGTATGTGAATATGTGTATATGCATCTGTCATGATGTCCCCCTGCATTGGTGTGTGTGTGTGATCAACACATGTATATGCAAGTGTCATGATGACCCTAGGCAGTGGTATGTGTATGCACGCCTGTATATTCATGTGCTTTGCAGACCCCAGACCACATGTACATAAACACATTGGTGTGCACACATGCATGTGTGCACATGCATCTGAACAAGCTCTCCACATCAAGGTGCTGTGCCGTCAGAGCTGACAGCCTGGTCTCCAGATACTGGGTTCTACGTGCTGTCTCTCAGTTCCTCTCATACCTTTGATTCTAGCTCCTAGGTGCCACTGGCAGACTAATGTAATCTGTAATTATAATCCCTTGCCAAGTGAACAGGTGGATGATTAATTAGATGACCTTCCAAAAGATATCACATTTTTTCCCAAAATTAATAGAATTTCACACATTCAGATAGCTGCACTACAACAATCTCAGCTTCTTAAGGGACTGGGGGGAAAAGATTCTCATATTGACAGTGATAACAGATGGGTAAATGGCATGGGAACTTATGTGGATGGCAATGTTTGGTTTTTACCTGATTGATTTATAGGATATTTAAAATTTTAAACATAAAGTATAAATATAAAATACATATCGTTTGCATAAGTAATACAAATATCTTCCCTGGCACAGGAAAAATTGTAGCAGTTCTCTCTTACAAAATCGTGAGGCTGAAGATAGTCGAACCTGGGGTTTTAAGTAAGCTGGCATGCTTTTTATAATTATTTTAGAAATTAAGATATTTATATAGGAAGTCCAGGCGGTGATGTGGCTGGCAGAAGCATCACGTAAGAACACTCAGGGACCTTAAAAATCTTTCCACTGCAAAGTCATTTGGAAAAAAAAAATGTAGCATTGCTATTTCTCACATCAAAATCCGACTGGCATTATTTGCTTTCCATTGCCTGACCTGTTTACCTTCTTTAAATCTCCAAATAACCAAGATTCAGTTTTAGAAGTGACGCTTACAGAGAAAGTTTTCCGAGCATCTGTGGGGGTGCAAGATTGATCCCACATTGCCTTACAAATGTAAGTTTCAAGGCCCATTGTCAAGGGTTAAATGCATCTACTTTACCGAAGAGACATTCTTCAATCTGTTATGAAAAAAAAAAGCCTTTTTTTATATACCATCAAAATTCCTTTAAATAAAAAGAGAGAACAAAAATACAGACTTTGTTGAAAAGGACCAGGGATCACTATACAGCCAAGACTGGCCTCAAACTCAGCATCCTCCTGCCTCAGCTTCCAGGTACTGGAATCCAGGTGCCAGCAGGAAATACTTAAATTGAAATCTCTTTTTCCCTTTATTTTCCTTTTTTTTGGGGGGGGGGGATTGTATTTTAGTTACGTTTCTCCCTTCTCTTTTCTTCTTAAAATAAACTGTACTACATGGATAAATTTATCCCTTCCTTTTAAGAGTTCAGTTTGGAGCCAGCCTCCATGAAGTGCACTTTAGACATTCAGGAAGCTCTCCCCCCCCCATCCCAGGCAAGAGCTGTGAGAGGGGCCAGGAGTCTCCTTCTTAAATGCCCTTTACTGCAATCAGAATGAGAAATGTCTCAGCAGGTGCCTCTGTGTCCATACTTTCTCCCCAGCTCCAGCTGTCCCACAGAGTAGAAGGTTTTAGAGACAAGGACTCCCTGGAGGAAGTGGCTATTCGGAGGTGTGTGGGCCTTCAAGTCTACAGCACAATCCTGTCTCAGCCATTTCTCTCTTTCTGGTCAGCTGAGATGCTAGCCAGCTGCTGCCAGTGGTTCCCCTGCCACAGT